CACAATTGCATATCAAAACCAATACCATGAGTAATCTAATTTGCAGAATATATCTCATGTTTTATAAGCAAAGAAGTTATACACAAAAGTGCCCTTTTATGGTAAAGGGTAAAGGGACCCCTGACCATTAGGTCCAGTCGTGGACGACTCTGGGGTTGTGGTGCTCATCTCCCTTTACTGGCCGAGGAAGCCGATGTACAGCTTCCGGGTCATGTGGCCAGCATGACTAAGCCGCTTCTGGTGAACCAGTGACTATGTTTGCATGTCACTGTAAACCATAGTTAGTGCCAAGATGGCTCCTGCTTTGCTCCTCCCCTAACAGACCACAATTCCTAACTTAGTATTACAGTACATCTGAAATGAAGATCATGGTTTCTTTCCTTCTAAACAAACCATTATGCGAAGCCAGGGGTTGTTCTGGGGTTTTCAACTGTGGTTTCAGTGCCACAAACCACAATTCCCAGCTTGGATGTAATGCTTATTGCTCTATCTTGTGCTCTTGTCCACCTTGTATGTAAATGTCTCCTCATGCAATCATCTCTGATTTGCAGACAGTTGGGTCAAGGACAATGCCTGTAGAAACACATGAAAAGTCAAACGGATTAAACCCTGCCCTTTCAGACAGTTTTGCTGTGCACCAGTGTGGCTGGAATTCAGCACACACTAACCTAAAACCATGGTTATCATACACTGAGATTGTCATAAGACAATCCATAAGGAGATGTTCTTTTCTCACCTGGAGGAGGGCAGTTACCAACTGGGGAGGAAACTCCATACTCATGGTCTATTCAGTTTTTAAGCCCCATGTTTGAAATGAATGGATGAATGAAGACAGTGGCTTTATCATCTGGCATTACTAAACTTATTTTAACTTGGCTTACATATGTTGCTAGTCCTTTGCATTTGCGAGTTTCTGCAACTGTGCTAAGGTTCCACCAAATTTCACAAATGATTTGGATGTATAAATAGATTTAGGTGTCCACAGGACTAATGGCGGGAAGGGAGAAATCAGCATTAAGTTTCTTATTGAGCTGCTTTCTTCTATTCAGTGTTCAGCAAGTCAGATATTTTTAGTGTCAAGTTTGCAAGAATTACATCAAGGTTGTAGAATCAGTTCTGTAAGAGTCAGATCCCAAAAACCTCCTCAGAGATATTCCTTCATATTTTTTAAAATAAAGACAATGGCAAAACAAGATACTGATCCTCAGCATGGAATTTTCTAAGGTCAGTGCTTGGAATGAGAAATGTGAAAAGGGGCCCAAGTAAATTGATGGGGGCAGTGTTGGTTTTCATAAAGGATAGAAATAGCATAGCTTAAAGAAGATCTAATGTTTGCAAAGTCACTTGCAAAAATTAATATATGGAGCAAATACAGTCTTGTATATTTAATAAGATGGACATTTTCAGTCCAGAAAGTGATCAAAGTCTGGCTTTCTCCCCAGAACTCAAATGTAAGTTTAGCAGATACAGTAAATTACCTTGCAATCATTTTGTCTTAAAAGAAATAGAGCCCCGGGCATCCAAAATTACTTCAAATAGGGTCTGCTGCCAACACTGGAAGGAAGGAGTGTGAACCAAAACACTCATCACATTGGAACTCATGATGAAGACAGAAACAACATTAAGATGCTTCTATATCTCAAATGCTGCTTCACTCATTCCGCACTGTAACACTTGTATAGTGACTTTTTTCTCATTGAATTCTGGAACTACTTAATATACTAGATCGGGTCGACAAACTATGGTCCCAGGGCTGGATCAGGCCCAGCAGGATTCTAAATCTGGCGCCCGGCAATTGCCCAGGTGCTACAGAGGAGTGAGCAGCGGGGGTGCGATCCTTGGGGCGGGGAGGGCCTTTCCTGGGAGGGGTTGCGCGCAGGTGGGCGCCAGAGCAACCCAAGTCCCTTTCCGTCGCAGGAAACATCGCAGGCGGCGGCGCTCTAGCTGTTGCCGTCTCGGGAGGCAGAGATGTGCCTACGGCTTCTCAGGTTGGGATCCCTCAGCTGGGAAGGGAGGCTTCGCGCTGCCTATTGGAGCAGCCCCAATCCCATTCCTACTTGTGTGCAAGCAGGAGGGGGTGGGGATCTCTCTACTGGGGCTTTTTTAAAAGCACCTTCCCATGTGTGCCTCAAGCTTCACCTGGCCCCTCTCTCACCCTCATCTACTTTTTGCAGAAGGAGCTGTGCAGTCCCATGTTGCAGCAGCTTTAAGTCCTAGTTTTTTTCTTCCTTTTTCTGAGTGTGTAAAGGTCAGGGGTGGATATGGTCAAAGGGGTCTCTGGGGGACTTGGGAGTCTGCCTCCCTTTTTGCAAGAAGGCACCTGTGTTGGTGGTGGCTCAGGGTTTACCCAGCGCCAAAGCCCAGTCACACACAACTGGTGCCGCTTCTCCGGAGCCGCCATCTCTCCTCAGCCTCAGCCATTCATTCCCCCCCCCAAAAAATATAGTCCGGCCCCCTGCTGAAAACGTTTGCTGACCCCTGCATTAGACATATATCAGGCCAGAACTGGTCATAAACTTATTGACTAAAGTTAATTATACTGCAGTCTATTTCCCTCTCCATTTTCCTTTTACAAGCAGTTAGGCCAAGAGTTGTCGACTACCCCAGACCACCAAGCGGGTAAGTGGGTGGGGATTTGAACACATATATCTCTGGTCCAAGTCCAAAATTCTGTCTCCCCAACAGCACACAAGAGGCTTCCCAGCTCCAAGTTCACATCCTTAGAGCTCAATCCTGTGCATGCTAACTTTGAAGTAACCTCTATTGCATTCACTGACACTTATTTCCAAGCATGCATGCATAGGACCAGTCTATCAGGTATTATATTCTCCTAGGGTCTTACACAAAACAGCTCTCAGAGTCAAATCAAAGCAATTACCGTACTTTTCCGTGTATGAGACTATGTTTTATTCTTTAAAAATCATGCTAAAAAGCGGGGGTTGTCTTATACATGGATGGTGCATAGGGTGGACCTTTGATTGGTTGCTGCCACGGCTGTCAGCGGCTATTGTGCGTGTTATTGGTTGCTGCGTCAGGGACAGACAGGAGGCGGATTTAGCGACGCGTGTGAATGAGCAATTTTCGGCAATCCCCCCCAAAAAGCTCAAAAACTCTGGGCAATCCTCTACAAAAAAGTTCAACAACTCTGTGCCATCTCCCCCCATTTTCTTAAATTTGAGTCCCCCCAAATAGGGGCGTCTTATACATGGGGTGCCTGATAGATGGAAAAGTACGGTAGTTAGTTCTTGCCACTCTTAAGCCATCCTCTGTTTACACAAGCAAGGTGAATACAACAAGGCTCAATGGTTGTATTTCTCTTTCTCCCCACCTCTAAATTCTTTCAATGAATGTTGAAGTGAGAGCTTCAAATTCTATGGTAAGAACAAATGAACATACTCAAGATTAGTCTTGAATTTCTACTACTCACTCATCAGCAGCACAAAAAGTAAAGTGTAAAAAAAGTGTTAAAAAATCTTCATAAGCATATGATAGGAAGGGGGGAAGGAGGGGAGACTGGGGATCAGAAATAAAAGTGGAATGGGGGGGTCCTTTATCTGGATTTCTGCACCTATTGGCCAACTACAGCATTACTGCAAGACCCCATCAGCTCAATAACAATCAACCATATTTCAAAATACTGTTTACCAGAGGTGAACACCTTGTATACAATACAAACATTCAAACTGGGACTTGAAAAACAGATAACAATAGGAGTCTTGGAATAATGAACCACAACACTTACAAGACAACATGGCAGAGATCTAGTTAACACCTGCAACAGAAGAGATCAAAGCTAAACTGGCTGGTCATAACAATTTCTGATGCCCAAGTTCTCCTAGTACCTGCATTGCTGAAGTTGTTTATCTTGAACAGCTAGCAGGGTGCAGTGTGCACATTTAAACAAATGAGTGTATGAAAGATCTTTTCCCAATACGTGGGGTATGATAGCTGGCATCAGATTAATTAGGACAGCTAAATCTACATTGTAAAAGCCTCCCACTAATCCAACAGCTTCTCGATTAACATTTTGCCCTCCTGCTTATTAACTGTTTCCAGTATCACTGGCTATTTTAAAACAGCATGTGCTGTTTCAGGCACACAAATGGGGGAGGGGGGGTTAGGTGGTCACTGACCATTAAATTAACAAGCATGCTGAAGAAAAGCTGGAAGGTTTAAAGAGTAACAGCAAAGAAAGGTTGCAGTATGTCTGTAAACACCATAGTCAACTGGTAATGGGGACCTGATGACCCCGCCTGAGCGCACGCACACACACCCATCCCAGCTGTTATCTGCCACACAGATTGTTTTCACATTTTGCTCCTATGTACCCATTTAACAGCTGCACAAACACCCCACAAGGACATGAAAAAGAAAAAGGTTGCTGTAAGTAGCACAGGGCTTTGAAATGTCACTGTCACACAAGGGTGTCACCACCAGCCCTCAGTCCGGTCTCTATGCAGTTCCCTAGTTCTGCATCAGCCCTTCCTGCCCCCCTAATTTATGTCACAGCTCCACCTCCTTGTTCCTCCACACATCCTCGCAGTGGACCACTCTGGACTCCCCAGAGGGAGGCGGGCAGGCGGGCAGTCTTTCCCCTCCGCCCAGCCCATTCCTCGGCCCCCCTTGCAGCTCCCTGGCCTGAGAGCGAAAGGACACCAGAGACCTCCCACCCCCGCATCTCTTTGCTTTCTGGCTTCGACCGATCAGCCCCATCCAGGATCAATAAGCTGCCCCATTACCCCCCACCCTGAGCAATGGGGAAACTGCAGCTCTGCGGGGCGAGGGACCGGCTGCCCGCCCGCCCCCTTCCCCGCTGCCCCACAGCGCAGGCCGAGGGCCGCCCTTCCGCCCCCATCGCCACAGGATCCTGCAGCTCCTCACGAGCGATTATGGTGATTAATCCCGCCTTATTATTCCCATTCCCTCAAATGCCCCCCGGCAAAATGGAGCGAGGCGGCGGCGGCGAGTCCGCCCCCCCCCCGGAGCCCCCGGCCCCTCACCCTTCACGATGCGCTCCGTCGTGGACAGTTTGCCGCTCTGGGCGCGCCCGGACATGGTCCCGCCTGCCCCGTCGCGGCTCCCGGGACCTTCGTGCCTCCCCGCGGGAGGGGCCGGGACTCCGGCGGCGGCGGCGGCAGCGGCTGAGCAGGCCCGGGCGGGAAGGCGGGCGGAGGGAGGCGCGGACGGGGGAATCCTCTCAGTGCCGCGGCGGCGGCGGCGGCTGTCTCCACCCGAGCCCCCCGAAGCTGCCCCTACCGCGCATGCGCGCTCGCTCTCCCCCGCCCCTTCTACGGCACACAAGGCGCAAGCTGTCAAGGCCGCCGTCTCTCGGCGCCTAGCGCGCAGGCGCAGGCGACCCCCTCGCTCCTTCCCGGCTCGCTCTCTCGCCCGCCCCCGCCAGCGCGCACCCAGCGCCGTTACGCATGCGCCCAGCCACCCTGCCAGCCCCCGTGCTGATTGGCCTCCCTCGCGCCTGCGCGGCGGCCGGAGCGGGTTCCTTGGGTCACGTGACGAAGCTGCGGCCCCGGGTTTCCCCTCCCTCCGGCCGCCATTTTGAAGGGAAGCAGGGTTGCTAGGAGACGCGCCGCTGGAGCCGCCAGGAAAGCCGCGCTCGGAGGGCCTGGCCAGAAGCCGGGCGCGCGCGCTGTGCTCCTCCGTCAGGCCAGGGCGGGGCTCCCGGGCCCCTTTCCCAGAGCCCCCGGGGGCCCGGCTCCTGCTCTGCCGCCCGAGGTGTGTCTGCGAGAAACTTGGGGGGGGGGACCTGCAAATGGTGGTTCTACTTTGGTTCAAGGCTGCTGAGGATGCTGGCAATCCTGTTTGATAGACGCTCGGGGAGCGAGTTTCTATATATATAATATATATATAATTTTATATATAAGAGTTTATATATATATAATTGCACATATAAAAAAGCATGGGAGCCAACTCCTAGGGGTCTCCAGCCCCCCCATAAAATATTTGAGGGAGCCCCCCTTGATGTGTGTGCACCGTGTCATGTGGTCGATTATGTGGGGCAGGAGTTACCTCCCCCCCCCCATATTTTATTCAAGTTGATGCCCCTGTAAATAAGCATGTTTAGTTTACAAATTACTGGTTTCTTGTGCTTTATTCATTGAATAGGCTGATGCAACCATGGATGTGAGGTACACCATCCAGATCAGATTGAATCTGACTGCTACTGGTGGAGAGTGCTTCCCTATACATAACAGAAATGCACCAAATTGAGAATCAAATGCTGAGAAAACAGAATCTAGTCCACAAATGGGTGCCTGAATAAGTCTACTAAGCTGTGAAGTGGACTGCAGTCCACCAAAGCTTATGCTGCAATAAATTCAAGTCTTTAAAGTGCCATGAGACTTCATTTCTTTTGCTGTCGCAGGACTTAATGCTGCTGCCCCATGAAGACGCCTTTTGTGTTTGTGCTGTAACAGACTTAACAGGGCTACCCATCTGGAAAATGGCTTTCCACTTATCTGCTCCTGCTGACATGTATCCGTGGTAATTCCTTGTAACCTCACAGAGGTGGCATCTGCCCAAATGGGCTCTGGCTTAGCAAAAGCTCACACCAGCAATATTACACTGTGAGCTGTCACAGACTGCTGCCATTTTCCCTACAGCAGACTAACAAGACTATCCTATTCCTCTCTGGAATGGGCCACATTGGAGGAAAAAACCCAGTATCTGTTTCATTTAACAAAATTCATTTTGTTGTTGCAGGGGGGAAACCTTCAGCTTTCTATGTGCCTTATTCTGAAATTATGTTCTTGCCTGATAGGAATAGTTTATTCAAACTCCTCTTCTACCTTTTCCTTCCATTTCTGATCTGTTGTGTTTTTTTGGCTTTTTAGCTTGTCAGCCTTAGGACGCAGCCTCTCTAAGTAAAGAAATGTGAGCTGCTCTGGGAATCATAATATCTGTATGAAAAGTGAGATGGCAGATAAATGAATAAATAAAAATAAATCCCAACATCTAATAGTCATGCTGTCCTGGGCTTGATCCCTTCCCCCTTTCTTTTTTGTTGTGTAGAATCATAGAATCATAGAGTTGGAATAGACCACAAGGGCCATCGAGTCCAACCCCCTGCCAAGCAGGAAACACCATCAGAGCACTCCTGACATATGGTTGTCAAGCCTCTGCTTAAAGACCTCCAAAGAAGGAGACTCCACCACACTCCTTGGCAGCAAATTCCACTGTCAAACAGCTCTTACTGTCAGGAAGTTCTTCCTAATGTTTAGGTGGAATCTTCTTTCTTGTAGTTTGGATCCATTGCTCCGTGTCCGCTTCTCTGGAGCAGCAGAAAACAACCTTTCTCCCTCCTCTATGTGACATCCTTTTATATATTTGAACATGGCTATCATATCACCCCTTAACCTCCTCTTCTCCAGGCTAAACATGCCCAGCTCCCTTAGCCGTTCCTCATAAGGCATCGTTTCCAGGCCTTTGACCATTTTGGTTGCCCTCCTCTGGACACGTTCCAGTTTGTCAGTGTCCTTCTTGAACTGTGGTGCCCAGAACTGGACACAGTACTCCAGGTGAGGTCTGACCAGAGCAGAATACAGTGGCACTATTACTTCCCTTGATCTAGATGCTATACTCCTATTGATGCAGCCCAGAATTGCATTGGCTTTTTTAGCTGCCGCGTCACACTGTTGGCTCATGTCAAGTTTGTGGTCAACCAAGACTCCTAGATCCTTTTCACATGTACTGCTCTCAAGCCAGGTGTCCCCCATCTTGTTTTTGTGCCTCTCATTTTTTTTGCCCAAGTGCAATACTTTACATTTCTCCCTGTTAAAGTTCATCTTGTTTGTTTTGGCCCAGTTTTCTAATCTGTCAAGGTCGTTTTGAAGTGTGATCCTGTCCTCTGGGGTGTTAGCCACCCCTCCCAGTTTGGTGTCATCTGCAAATTTGATCAGGATGCCCTTGAGTCCATCATCCAAGTCGTTGATAAAGATGTTGAATAAGACCGGGCCCAAGACAGAACCCTGTGGCACCCCACTAGTCACTCTTCTCCAGGATGAAGAGGAACCATTGATGAGCACCCTTTGGGTTCGGTCAGTCAGCCAGTTACAAATCCACTGAGTGGTAGCATAGTCAAGACCGGATTTTACCAGCTTCTTTAGAAGAATATCATGGGGCACCTTGTCAAATGCCTTGCTGAAATCAAGGTAGGCTACATCCACTGCGTTCCCTTCATCTACCAGGCTGGTAATTCTGTCAAAAAACGAGATCAGGTTAGTCTGACATGACTTATTTTTCAGAAATCCATGCTGGCTATTGGTGATCACAGCATTCCTTTCTAGGTGCTCACAAGCTGTTTGCTTAATGATCTGCTCCAGAATCTTCCCTGGTATTGATGTCAGACTGACTGGGCGATAATTATTTGGGTCCTCTCTTTTCCCCTTTTTGAAAATAGGGACAACATTTGCCCTCCTCCAATCTGCCGGGACTTCGCCTGTTCTCCAGGAATTCTCAAAGATGACTGCCAGTGGTTCTGAAATCACATCTGCCAGTTCTTTTAATACTCTTGGATGCAGTTCATCTGGCCCTGGAGACTTGAATACATCTAGACTAGCCAAGTATTCTTGTACTATCTCCTTAGTTATTCTGGGCTGTGTTTCCTCTGCTGAATCATTTGCTCCAAATTCTTCAGGTCGGGCATTGTTTTCTTTATCGGAGAAGACTGAGGCAAAGAAGGCATTGAGGAGTTCAGCCCTTTCTGTGTCCCCTGTTTGCATTTCAACATCTTCTACTCTGAGTGACCCCACTGTTTCTTTGTTCTTCCTTTTGCTACGAACATACCCAAAAAAGCCTTTTTTGTTGCTTTTAACCTCTCTAGCAAGCCTGAGTTCATTCTGTGCTTTAGCTTTTCTGACTTTGTGTCTACACGTGCTGGCTATTTGTTTGAATTCCTCTTTGGTGGTTTCCCCCCTTTTCCATTTTTTGTACACATCCTTTTTTAATCTTAACTCAGTTAAAAGTTCTTTAGATAGCCACCCTGGCTTCTTTAGGCACCTTCCATGTTTCCGTCTCATTGGTATTGCCTGAAGTTGTGCTTTTACTATCTCCCTCTTAACAAACTCCCAGCCATCATGAACTCCCTTTCCTTTTAGTATTACTGTCCATGGGATCTCACCCAGCACTTCCCTAAGTTTTATGAAGTCGGCTTTCTTAAAGTCAAGAAATTGAGTCATAGTATGCTTGGCTGCTCCTTTCCGCTGTATAGTAAACTTCAGAGGAGCATGATCACTCGCGCCTAATGATCCTTCCACTTCTACCCCACTAACCAGGTCCTCAACATTGGTTAGAACCAGATCTAAAATGGCTGTTCCTCTTGTTGCTTCTCCCACTTTCTGGACAATGAAGTTGTCTGCAAGGCCAGTGAGGAATCTGTTTGACCTTATGCTCTTGGCTGAGTTTGACATCCAACAAATATCCGGGTAATTGAAGTCCCCCATTACTACTATCTCCCTTCCTTTTGCATGCTTGGCCATCTGTTCCAGGAAGGCATCATCTATGTCCTCCGTTTGGCTTGGGGATCTATAGTAAACTCCCACAATGAGGTCTCTGTTATTTTTCTCTCCCTTAATTTTGACCCAAATGCTCTCACTTTGGCTTTGAGGTTCTAAATCTTGGATCTCTTCACAGGTATACACATCCCTGACATATAACGCCACTCCTCCTCCTTTCTTGTCTGGTCTGCTTCTCTGAAATAGATTGTATCCCTCCATTATTACATTCCAATCGTGGGACTTATCCCACCAGGTTTCAGTGATGCCTATTATGTCATATTTAGTTTGCTGTACCAAGAGCTCAAGCTCATCTTGTTTATTTCCCATGCTTTGCGCATTAGTGTACAGACATTGAAGTCCATTAATCATCCCCCCGTGTCTCTTATTTAAGGATTTTTTCCTCCCACCACTAGGATGATCATCTTCATCAATTGATAGACTCCTACCTTCAGGAGCACTGTCTCCCTCCCCCACATTAGTCAGTTTAAAGCCCTCCTGATGAGGTTTCTGAGATTTTTGGCAAAAACATTCCTCCCAACCTTTGTGAGGTGCAGTCCATCGCTTGCCAGAAGTCCATCTTCGAGAAACTGCAGTCCGTGATCTAAGAATCCAAACCGTTCCTGTTTACACCATTTGCGAAGCCAGTTGTTCACTTCCACTATTTTTCCCTCTCTCCCTGGGCCACGTCGTTCAACTGGGAGGACAGATGAGATGACAATTTGTGCATTTAATTGCTTCAATTTCCTGCCCAGAGCCTCGTAATCCCTTTTGATCTTCTGGAGGCTGTTGCTTGCAGTGTCATTGGTTCCCACATGAACCATGAGGAAGGGGTATTTGTCAGTGGGTTTTATGATTCCTTGCAGTCGTTCAGTTACATCTTGGATCTTAGCCCCGGGGAGACAGCACACATCCCGAGACATCTTGTCAGGCCCACAGATCACTGCTTCTGTTCCCCTCAGTAGGGAATCCCCTATCACCACTACACGCCTCCTCTTAGGTCTGGTCGGGGTTCTTCTGTGAGCTGTCCGTTCCAAGGTCGCCTGCACATTCCCTGAGGACTGACTTTGCTGCTCGTCTTCATATACCTGATCGACTGTAATGAGGGAGAGATCCTCAAATGGAGTCTGCTCTTCTTCTTCCATGCTAGGGGAGAGGACCTCAAAGCGATTGTGTATTTCTAAACAATCAGAGCGAACCCTGGGCCTCCTACTTCTTTGAGTCACGTTTCTCCATATATCTGGCTCCTGTGTTGGTGAACCAGCCTCCTTCTCAGGGGAGTCCCTTGTCTCCTCCTTGGTGGAGACGGTGTGCTCTGTTGCTTCCAAGAAGAGCTCCAGCTCTCTAATTCTATGGAGCGTAGCTACACGTTCCTCCAGTTGCTGGACTTTGTCTTTTAAGAGGGCAATCAACATGCAATTGCTGCAAGTAAAGCTGCCTGCAACCTTTTGCAAGATGGCAAACATTGTGCAGGAACCACAGGCGACTGCAGCTGTTCCCTCACCCTCCATCTTGAGAACGTGTCGTTGGGGGTGACTACAGTGGTCCTCCATCTTAAAAAGCGTGAAGACAGGACAAATAATCCCCCCCAAAAAACCTAGGTCTCCCCCAACAAACGTTTGAGACTAGCTCCCCTAAATCTAAAAGATCACACACTACATTTAAAACGCATTCAAATAACATTCCCTCAAAGAATTCTGGGTACTGTGTTAATGTTGCTGGGAATTGTAAGAGTAGTCCCCATAATTCTTTGAGGAAAAGAATATGTTTCACATGTGCTTTAAAATGTATAGTGTGTACATAGCCTTATTCTTGCTCCTTTGTTTGCCTTTGAAATAAGCCCTTTAAAAATAATTAGATTTAAACCTGAAGATAGCAGTCTCCACACTTAGTTCCCAAGGAATTATATATTGGGATGGAAAGTATGGAGTGACAGACATTTTATTTCTAATGCACATGCTTGTATGTGATACTATGAGCCCATGTAGAGTATTTCATATATTGCAGCTAGCAAGGTTCATTTTGAGTTTTTGGCAACATGGCCTAGGGCACTCTGCTAGTCGTAGAGCACTCGCTTTGCATGCAACAGGTGCCATGTTTAGTCCTTAGCATCCCCAGGTAGGGTTGGAAAGGACTCCTGCCTGAATCCCTGGAAAGCCACTGCCAGTTAATGTAGACATTGCTGAGATGAATCAATACCTGGCTCTGAAATGTTCCTCCAAAACATCCCAGGTGATCTCAAGGTGTTGTGTGCCTCCAACTCCAATCAGCACCAGAGTAGCATGGCCTAGGGTGGTGGTGTTTAGTCATGTCTGACTCTTCGTGACCCCATGGACTAGAGCACGCCAGGCACTGCCTCCCGCAGTTTGGTCAGACTCATGGTGGTAGCTTTGAGAACACTGTCCAACCATCTCGTCCTCTGTCATCCCCTTCGCCTTGTGCCCTCCATCTTTCCCAACATCAGGGTCTTTTCCAGGGAGTCTTCTCTTCTCATGAGGTGGCCAAAGTATTGGAGCCTTAGCTTCAGGATCTGTCCTTCCAGTGAGCACTCAGGGCTGATTTCCTTCAGAATGGATAGGTTTGATCTTGCAGTCCAGTCTGGAGTCTCCTCCAGCACCAGAATTCAAAAGCATCAATTCTTTGGCGACCAGCCTTCTTTATGGTCCAGCTCTCACTTCCATACATCACTGCTGGGAAAACCATAACTTTAACAATATGGACCTTTGTTGGCAAGGTGATATCTCTGCTTTTTAAGATGCTGTCTAGGTTTGTCACCGCTTTTCTCCCAAGAAGCAGGCATCTTTTAATTTCATCTGCAGTGATCATGGAGCCCAAGAAAGTAAAATCTCTCACTGCCTCCATTTCTTCTCCTTCTATTTGCCAGGATGTGATGGGATCTGTGGCCATGATCTTACTTTTTTTGATGTTGAGCTTCAAACCATATTTTGCGCTCTCCTCTTTCACCCTCATTAAAAGGTTCTTTAATTCCCTCCTCACTTTCTGCCATCCAGGTTGTGTCATCTGCATATCTGAGGTTGTTGATATTTCTTCCGGCAATCTTAATTCCGGCTTGGAATTCATCCAGCCCAGCCTTTCGCATGATGAATTCTGCATATAAGTTAAATAAGCAGGGAGACAATATACAGCCTTGTTGTACTCCTGTCCCAATTTTGAACCAATCAGTTGTTCCATATCCAGTTCTAACTGTAGATTCTTGTCCCACATAGAGATTTCTCAGGAGACAGATGAGGTGATCAGGCACTCCCATTTCTTTAAGAACTTGCCATAGTTTGCTGTGGTCAACACAGTCAAAGGCTTTTGCATAGTCAATGAAGCAGAAGTAGATGTCCTTCTGGAACTCTCTAGCTTTCTCCATAATCCAGGGCATATTGGCAATTTGGTCTGTGGTTCCAGCTTGCACTTCTGGGAGTTCTCGGTCCACATACTGCTTGAGCCTTCCTTGTAGAATTTTAAGCATAACCTTGCTAGCGTGTGAAATGAGTGCAATTGTGCGGTAGTTGGAGCATTCTTTAGCACTGCCCTTCTTTGGGATTGGGATGTAGACTGATCTTCTCCAATCCTCTGGCCACTGCTGAGTTTTCCAAACTTGCTGGCATATTGAGTGTAGCACCTTAACAGCATCATCGTTTAAAATTTTAAATAGTTCAGCTGGAATACCATCACTTCCACTGGCCTTGTTATTAGCAGTGCTTCCTAAGGCCAATTTGACCTCTCTCTCCAGGAGTGATGGGAGTCTTCTTTATTTAGACAATTTCTGTTCTGCTTAATCTATAAAAGTGGTACACAGCAAACTGAAAGCAACAACAAATGTTACACCTATACACAACTATTAATACAAATTAATAAGTAATAAATGCGGATATAAATTCCTTCTTCTGACACATTTCCCTTTTCCATATCACCCATCCAGCCTGGCTTCAACCCAGGGCCCAAACAAATTCAGATCTCTCTCTCTCTCTCTCTCTCTCTCTCACACACACACACACACACACACACATCCCGCCCTGAAATCTGAAATCTCACAACAAACTGGGTTCCTGGAACTACTGATACCACTCTAGTCTTTCATTATCTAAGGTGGAAGCAAGAGCATGTTTAGACCAGCCCCATGTCCATTGTAACAACAGGGGCAATACTAGTACAAAAGAGCATTCCTCTTACTATCTGAAATGCTGGACAGTATTTGCTGGTTCCACTATATTGATGTAGCAGTTACCTGAAAATCTGGAAGCATCCTTAGAACAAGCAATTGCTATTCAATGTAATACTCTACCATCTGTTCAATATATAAAATACATGACACAAGTGTGCACATAAACAGCAATTCATGCTCTAAGGACATGGATTTTAAGACACAGTCATTGCTGCCATCTTTTGTTTAAACCATAGTACTACAACCAAAGCCAATCTCCTTATGGGCAGTAAATACTCCTTATGGACTACTGTATTACAGTTCTACCACTTTGTACACTCAGGTAATGCAAGACTGCTTGCTTCAGCACACTGGTTCCCTGTCAGTTTCTGAGTTCATTTCAAAGCGCTGGTGGTTAGGAACATTGAAAGCCGACTTACACTAGGTCTTAGAAAGTAGTCCATCTAGCCTAGTATTGTCTACACTGATTGGCAGTGACTCTACAGGGCCTGAGGCAAGGGTAGTGAAGCGAGGAACAATCTATTTCCAGTTAATTGCAGTTCTGAATGTGCTCATAAGTCCATTCAGCCCTGTTTCCACATTAATCTGCAATGTTTTTTTAAAAATCCATCCCCAAAAATGCATTTGTGAACTTATTTTATCTCAAAAGATGCATTTTGACACATTCTTTGAGCTGAAAACTGCATTGCAAGATTAGAGAAGTAAGAAATCTGAAAGATAACTATGTTTTGGCCTGCACATTAGGAGGCACAGGTCAAAGTCTTTTCTGCATTGCCGTGGGTTGGACTAGATGACCCTTGGGGTCCCTTCCAACTCGAAGATTGTATGATTCTATGAAAACCAGTTAATACTAGAATTTACAAAGACCGAATTCCTTAAGCCCCTCTAGGTAAAGGTCTTTGTCCTCGGACCATTTCGCCTGGAGTTTTGAAGTGTTGAGCCTGGTACATGTGATATACACGGCATCAGCTATGGTCCCCTCCACAATTCAGTACTGCAGTTGGATAATACTCCCAGCAGCAATCTGCATGCCCACCACGGTCACTACCCAAGGCTTGCCTGTGTCTGTTCCTACCTTCTGAAGCAAGTAGCAGCAGGGGAGGCAGCTTTTTCCATTTGATGTCCTACTTTTGGAATACCCTCCCCAAAGAGGCTCACCTCTTCTTCAGTACCATTCAGACACCTTTTTATTCTCCCAGACTTTTAAGATCTTATTTTGCCCTTTAAAACCACTGTAACATTTTCTGCTATTCCTGGCTGTCTTCTGCCATTTTATTAAATGGTTTTGTTTTATTATTAGCCTTCCTGAGAATGTTTGTGCCAAAAATAAATAAATGTGAAATTAAAGAAACCCTTCAGGGAACTTGTTCATCACCAAATGCAACTTTCTAAATCTATTCTCTCAAGTGGGTATCTACAGGAATATTTTTCTCATTGTTCAGTAACAAAGCTGGGAAAACATTTTACATTTACAGGGACCAGAATCATCATTTTTAGGTGTCTAGGTAACAAAGCACCAATGACTTTCTTCCAGGCTTCTCCTCTGAGTATCTAAGGGGGGGGGGGGAGAGCACACTTCACAATATCATTACAGAATATAGTTTATTTATGGAATTTACAAATAACTTTACAAGTCATGTGTCATAAGTTATGTTCTTTGTTTCCACAAACTTTCTTACAACTCCTGAGTTATTCAAATACTGAGATGGGAAAATTATGTTAGAAAACCAAGCACATTAAAGAAACAAATACAAATTGAAGTTTGGTCAGTTTTGCTTTCTCTCCTCTCAAAACCTTTCCCCTCAAAGGTCAAATTATTCTGGCATAACCTACAGACATGGTACCTTCTCTTTCCATTCTTCAAAATTACATGTACAATAATGGCATCCACAGCCTCCTTAAGGTCCGTAGGAGTTAAGGCTGCAGTTCTACACACACTTCCCTGAGAGCAGGCCCTACTGAACTCAGGAGGACCAACTTCTGAGGATCCAGCTGCACATGATCTCATAATTACTTTCATATACTGTTCCAGCTGTCAAGAGTAGACCAACACCCCTTTGCTACAAAATGAATTTAATTAGCTCCACACAGAAAGTAGGCTAGAGGCTACAGAAACAACTGAATTAAACAGCGAAAAGTTGCTGCAAAGGGGGATCTATTATTGTTGAGATGAAGATACTGGACAGAGATCCTATCCAGATTAAATACTGGACTGATCTCGGGAGGAACCTTAACATACATACTATTGCATTTAGGGATGCCAAAACTATCTTAATGGCTAGAAAATCACCTCCCTGCTACTAGTCTGAAAAAAACTGTTGTATTTGTTCAAAGCAGTTAATTCCTGGATGAAAACCATGAAGAAAGATGTTGGAATGATCACTTCAGACCTCATAAATTTGCTGTCAAGTAAGAAAATAGGGGACTGTAAAGTGGGTACTGGGCAATTCATTTCTGACTTTTTAAGGAACAAAGGGAGACCTTCATTTTGGTCTGATTTTTTTTAATGTACCACGGAGGGGAGGAGTCAAACCCCACCAGGAGGTTTGAATGAGCGTTTCCCTGTTCACAGTGACTCACACAGACAAGTCAAAACTAAAAAGTGATGATCAAAAAGATTTTATCCTATAACAATCATAAATATATATAAGGTGCCTTAGAAATAATAATGTGGCAGCAATAAGGGGGAAATGGTGATTATTGAATTAAATGGAACTAATGGATTGTTGAATGAAATGTTGCTACTAATGCCTTTTAGCAACGCAAGATGGTTCAAGACATAATGACTATTTGATCATGCAGGTATATTGTAAAGTTCTGTTCTACATCTATTTTTTTCAAAATATCCACAAGTGTCACAGCAGAGTAGTAAACATTACTTTCTTTGTGCAGGAAAGTGTAACTCATTATTATATTACGGACAGTTGTTCTAATAAAAAAATGAATACACAATGCCTCTAAAAGCTAATGCAGCATTATGCAATAGAACTCCATGGGGAAACTCAAATTGGTGCCCCCCTAACTATGACAATAAGCAATGCCCCAGCAAATGCTCTCCACATTGTGCTATCATGGGCCTCAACTTTTAGGCATGCTCCAAGTTTGAACAGCAATTTTAACCAATAGTTACATTTGCAGAATCACAAAAAAGTACTGCAAAAAACATCAAAATCCATAGTATTATAATGTTTTCAGGGGGGCTGAGCTTGCTTATGGTGTTTCTAACATCAGTCCCATTTTTCCCCTGCCCCACCCATGTGGGCCTTAAGAGCCCTATAACAGAAAGAGGGAATCTACCCCTCTTCTCCAAGCTCATTGGCACAAACAACAAACCAAGAGCTATTAAGCCCTAAGAAGCAGCCTTCAAAACATGGTGGGTGTTTGAGCCCTCATCACAGCCGAGCGTTCAAAAGGCCGGGGGTGGGGGGAGAGACATCCTCAGCAGTCACTTCCCCCCTCTGCCCAATGACAGTGCAAATTATTCTGCCTGCCGGTTAGAACTGCCAAGCCTGGTTGGCATAGTAAACCCACCCCTTACTGGAAATGCAAAAGCTATATTCTACCCATGGATCATGTCCCAATCTTGCATGACTATTGGCAACGCTTACTATCTTCTAATCAATTTGCATTTTACTTGGAAAGAGGAGGAGTTCATTAGACCTCAGAATAGTATAAAGGTGTTTCAGTTTCTTGATTCATGGGTAAGAAGGAAGAGGTAGCCTTACAATGAGAGAAAGCATGTAAGCAAATTTGAGCATCATATTAAGGGCTCTTGAGAAGCTTCCAATCATTTGTGCAGAAGGACATTCCTGTGGCTGCCAGGGAAGAGGAATTTGGATTTGCCACCCCAAGCACCACAATATATTGGGCCTGGTGGGTGTGGAATCCAGCCCCAATACAGCCTTTCCATAATAGGGGAACATATTGGAAGTGATCCAACTGTTTTCTGCATCTCAAACCCCTTTCAGAGGAAAAGAGAGAGGACAACATTCATTCCGTTACGCATCAAGACAGGGTGATACAGAGGCATTGCCCCAAAAGATTAAAAACTCTAGGAGTCACACCAAGGAATGGCTGTTCTCTGCTAAAGAACGAGGCTTTCCTTTTGGTGATCAGACACTCACAAATTCTCAAAGAGAATTTGTGAGGTGGAAAATTTACTACACTTAAGCTGAAGGACTTGATATTATCAATATGATAATCATACTTTGGTTCACCTAGTGACTCTGGGAAAGTCTAATCATGGAGGAAACCTCCCTAAGACCCCCTCTCCAAATCTGGGCTTCACTTTCATAGACTGCTCCAAGGCCTTCACATCAACCAGAGGATGCAAATCAACTGCTTTATGTCTCAGTCATTGCTGGCCATAAATGCACTCACCCCGGCCACACTTGCCCTGCAGAAGCTCACCTTCAAGAGAAGGAACTCAGTGGGCTAACAAAAGGAAGACAGAATAGATTAAGAGGAAGGTTGATCTTGCCCCACAGTGTCCAAGGAAAAGGGGCACTCTTAAAAACATAGCGGAGGGAGTTAAGAAGGACTCCTAAACCAGGGGGACAGTCATTCATATGTCCCTAACAGTTTACAACTAACGCTGCTACCTGATTAAAGAAATCTAAGGTCAGTCATACAAACCTTACTCATATTGCATAATTTGTATGAAGCATAGTATTTTAGAATAAAAATATTCTTACATGTTTAGATCATACATGCACGCTCCATGGCAAGCACATTCTCTCCCTCCCTCTCGCTCTCTCTCAAATGCCTTCTCTAAGAGGATACCTGTCACCCATTATTTTTGTAAGTTCTTGTATTATGTATTTTATCTGAAGTCTGGAGCCATATTACCCTTTTTAAAATTGAGCAATCTTTTAAACCTAACCAACTAACCAATTGACTAAGCATCAATAATACTCCATTTAAAACTCTAATCTACTAACTTCAAACAATTTGGGCATGTGGAGGTGGGAAGAGCTCTCTGCTATCAAAACCACACTGCCACAGACCTGTGTACACAGCAGTCTGTTGTCAGCCCAAGAATGATGGGGTATTTGAACCCCTCTGGTTGAGTCCCCTAAGGAGGTAAAAAGAAGCTAGAATCTTTCCTCCACCTCCAGAGTTCTTCAGAAGATGAAGGAGGGAATGCTGTTGCGGCACAATAAAGTGGTCCTTAGGTCACTTAACCCAACAGTGGGGAGTTTCATCAGTCACTGCAAGTCAACCAGGAAGGAATCCATGAAGCAGGCTTAATCAAAGTGCCTCTTTTTGTAATTTTTGGAGAAGATTCTGTGCTTTACACAGTCCATACACCTTCCATTAGTAAGATGCATGTCTCTATCCAAGCTGGATTTGACCCGAGTACATGGTAAGCAGCACCATGATGGTGAATCCTGTCAGCAGTCCTGCGTTCTGGATGGCAAAGGCAATCAGAGCACCACCACTCCTTTCATCCTCTCGGCTGACTTCATTCATCTCTGGGAACTATTGGGAGAAGAAAGAAATTACATTTAGTTCTGTAGCAAACACAAAGCCATATCTTCCAAGAGGCTATACAGTATTTCCTACCAGATATAAAAACTTAATTTTATGCAGGACCAAGTCTTTTCAAGACAGAGAGCTCCAATCTATCCAACTTTTATTGTGACTGAGGATTGGAACCTAAATTACCCATGACTAATCTGGTTTGAATTCAACCTAGCCACAAATTTAGCTGGATTGAGGCTCACCACCAACAAGATACAACTCTGCATTCTGGTAGTTTCAAAATTAGTCAGAGAGATGTATTACAGAAAATGTGGACACCCACATGCCATTTAATTCCTAACACAGCTAGAGCTCCTATGCTTGTCTGCCTGCCATCTGAAGGGAAGCACACAACATGGGAATGTGAAATAGATACAGGTGACTCCCGACTTAGGCGGGTCTTACGATCTGGGAATAAGCGAAAATCACATAAATGCCCTCTCACGAAATAAAGAAGTAAAATAAAATAATAATAAAAAAAGGAAAGAGTAGGTATGGGAACTGGGACACCGCTTTTCCAGCCATTTTCCCATGGTGGGATTGTGCCGCTTTAGCCCCCTCCCAACTTCCGCTTCTATTTTGCCCACCCAGCTGAGGCCCCCTGAAGGCAGGGCAGCCCTTCACATGGGTCAGATAGGGCCAGATTTGATTACAACTCCCTCCCTGCCCCCCCCACCACAAAGGCAGCTGAGATTTGACCCCCAGTATTCTAACTCAGCCGAGGGATCCTGCCCCCTCTGTTAACAGCCCCTCCCTGTGTCAGCTAGCCAGGGCACCTGCTAGGACTACGAAGTCTGCAGAGGAAGCATCTACCAGATGCTATGTGCAATGCCTCTATTTCTTTAATTATGGGATATAACAATGTTGTGCAATGGTTAGACAAGGACTCACCAACTTTTTTGAAACTGCAGGCACATTTGGTCCAACTGCGGTGGAAGACCACACAGTATTTGATCAGGGATGAATCAAGATTCCTTTGAACAGGAAAGTACCAAACTGAGGACTTACCATATCAGCCAATGCAATGTAGAGAAACATTCCACCAGCTAAAGCAAAGATCCAGTTGGCAGAGAAGTGGCTGCCCGCCAATATCCCAAAGGCTAGTCCCACATAGCAGCAGCAAGCAGAGATGAAGTTGAAGAACAGCGCTTGCTGGATGGACATTCCAGAATTCAGCAGAATGACAAAGTCACCTGCACGACCAAGGGCAATGGGAAGGAAGTGAAAAAGGAGAGATTGCATCAGGTCAGTGGGATCAAAGTTTAATCAGATTCCTGTTCAATCAACAATAGCATTTTGCAAATCAAAAATATTTGTTTGATATACTTTCTCAGGTTTATGGTGATGCACAAAAGTGTCGGTTAAGCATTAAACCCTAATGACTCTATATACGATATACAGTTCAGACACCTCAAATTCACTAAAGCACTTCAACCACCTCCTTCAACTAGATCACCAGATAACCTTGGGGGGGTAACTACCTGGAAGGCTTGCACAGAGAGCTGTAGTCTCCCAAGTCCCATTAAAACTCAGTGCTTGCATGGCCAACAGAAGCATTGCTGACCACTCTAACAATCCTCCAAACACCTGACTGGTCTGGTTTAATCCTCCTTTCAAGGGATCAGTTCACAGTGGGACACAAGTACATAAAACTAGTTTCTAGCAAAGCCTTCACAAACGTGGCCCATGCTGATGGGAGTGGCAGGTGCCAGGTGGGTGAAGGCTGTTCAAACACCACCATGAATTCCTTGTGGCCCGCCAGAGAAAGGAGATGCCTGAAGGCCACATTCATTTTCTCTACACTTGGAGAAAATAACAAGGTTCCTGCAGTGTTGTGGTGAGTTAAGCCTGCTTCCCCATAGTATTCTGGCACATGGTTAATAGGAGCTCCAGCATCCTTTGACAGCACACAGAATTTCCCTGCGCCCTCCACCCAAATAATCTGCCCACAAAGCCATTTGTGCCTGAGGGTAGTGACTTGTTTCAACTAACCTTATTCTGAGACAAGTGTGGGCTTCCGCTAGTGTGACTTGTTAACTGAATCTGGCCCACACTTCTGTATCTTTTGTTCCCCTGCCCCCTCTGACCCATCTGCTACAGATATTAAGCTACTATCTAACTGTTCAAGGGACTTCCCCCACCCAACACTAAATTAAGTGATTCCTGGGTCACAACCCTCAATAGCCCTACTCTGCAACCTCCTTATTAATTTACTTCAGGTATTTATATCCTGTTTAATACTCAGAATAAGGTGTATTTAAAAAATACAAAGAACAAGAACAATTGAAAATTATCCCAGAATCAGAAAGCTACCTTAAAATGCCACCTGAAGCAGGAAAGTCATTGTCAAGAGCCTGAAGTTCAGCAGGGAGGGGCCCTGTCTAAGGGAGTCCCACAGGGCTGGGCCAGCCAGCCATCCCTCTGAAGCATGGGGAAAGTGCTCCCACTTGCACCTCTGTTTAGAAAAGGCTGTGTACATGGTTTTGTCCTGTAGACATCAAGAGAATTTCCAGACACCACACTCCTGGCATTTGCTTCAGTCCTATCTCAGAGTTTGAGGAGCACATACCTAGCTCATGAGGAAATTCTTCACAGAGAATGGCCACAGAAGTGCTGATCCCCTGAAAGACGGACACAGTGAAGGAGGCACCAATGGCCAAGCCATCAATGAAATTGTGGAGGCCATCACTCAGGGTGATCATCCAAGCCAAGGTGCCAATGTCAGAGTAGCGCACGCCCTTCAGCCAATAGCAAGTGCTTTGAGAAGCCTGGAGGTCCTGAAAAGGCAGCAGATCAGTGCTTGAAATTAAGAGGTCTCTCATCAACTTCTGCAGTACAAGAGCACACTTGCATGGAGCCTGCATCATACAATGTGTACACACTGCCACCTAGTGCCTACAACTGGAGATACAAAAGCACACTGATGCTTTGGGAAATGTGGAGCAGAGCAAGGAATTTAAAGTAGCAATGTCCTAACCAACAAAATGTGAAAGGGTAGACTTCCAACGTTGCCTCATCTCACCTCCCCACTCTACCCAAGCAAGCTGTTTGCCTGACAATTTTGTGGTATCAGGTTTGCTGCTATTTTCCATGTTCTGCCAGTACATCAGTGCAAACCACCCACCTATGATTGTGCCAATATCCATCTGCTTCTGCAGAAATAAGTCATCAGACGTCAGGAGCTGTCACAGCACACTGCACACTGGTTATGAAAGCAGAAGATGTTATGTCTGCATGGGCCAAAGGCAGACTCCCTCTACCCTTTCCCAACAAAAGCAGACTAAGATACATACGAGGTGCTTTACCTTGGATCAGTCTTCCCATTAAGTCTATTTCTTGCAAACTAAGACAACTTATCTCCAGCAGGGCTGGAAGCAATACATTAGTAGTATAGGTAGGTACCTGAACAGACAAGGAGCCAACAATCTTCTCATCAACAGATGGATTCTTGCATTCCAGGTCACTATTCTTGTTAGGGATTATGTGATCCAAGTCACCATTCTGCAGTTTTTCAGTGACCCCCTCCTCTTGGTCTTTCTTGGAAGGAAGGGTCTCAGTGCTGTAGTGGCTGTGCCCATGATGACTCTGGGGGATACAAAGATGGAAGAACTGAAGGGGAGGGAGAGAGACTTTCTGTTCCTCATCAGGCAATGGCGTTTCCACCTGCCTTGAACCCCCCACCCAGCCCTTCCCAGGCTATGACTTTGAGGGCAGCAGCAGCAGCAGCAGCAGCTGGGAAGAGAGGAGTTCAGGGATATTTTTAAAAAATAGTTTTATAAGTTGTGTGTCTTTGTTTCTCAGTCTGATCCTTTTAGATGGTCTTGTATGTTTTGTGGTATTTTATGCAATGTGAATTGCTGTTATTTTTATTGATTATAGATTGGTAATTCTTTATTGGAGTTGATAAGTGTGAACTGTTTAATTATTATTTGCTGGTGTTTAATTTTACTGTTTACTATAAGATTCTGATGCATTGTTGAATGTTGCTTTGTTTGATGTACGTTATTAAAGTTATTGTGACTTTTATATTGGATCAGATTGTTACTATTAATGTTTGATGTTGTTGTGTTGGAAGCCACCCAGAATGGCTGGGGCAAGCCAGCCAGATCAGCAAGTAACCTTTCACCCCACACTGCTCCAACACAGCTTAGGGTATACTCCCCACTGTCAGATGCTTCAGTTCCTCACATTAAATTTTACTGGCTTTTCACCAGTAAGGCACCACACACCACACTTCTTTATAATTCTTTAGTAACTTTCTGAATTCCACAACACTTATCTGCAAGTTTTATGATCTCACAGTTCACAGACACCACAATATAGTATTTTTAGGGTAGTTCACTGCTGACTTCTCTATCATGAAAAGTAACTCTCTGTGCCTACTGATTCATAAAAGAGCTTTCCATTTAGTATGTTAGCTATGTAGGCTATAAAAAGTCTTTTTTCAACTGGAATCAGTTGTATCAACTTTAATTTGCATCTATATAGGAACCTTCCATGACATGACCCTGTTTATGCTTTCTCACTGCAATATCCTTGTTGACTGTTCCATACATTATCAGTTAACATTAAAGCAGCTGAGCAAACTACCCTAACTCAAATGTTCTACAGTTGTTCTGAATCTGCTATTATGGGCACCAAATGTTTGAAAGTCCAAGGACTGAACCGAAAGGCCTGGAAGACCACTGAACAAGGCTGCGTGCATGAGAAGGAAGTGAACCGGAAGGGAAGTGGTTAGGAACTGGATTGTCTCTAAAACGTTTATGGTGTTTTATTTTACACTATCGTTTTGACAGACTTGAATGGTACTAAAAGGAAGCCTCTCTGGAATACCTTTGGAGGCTTTTGTAAAGATTGCTATTACTGCCATTAGCGAGGATGGCAGAGGGGTGCAATATATGCATTCTTTCAGAGCTCCGTTTGTCCTGGTGACTTACTATTTAACATTTAAAATTGTAGCTGGCCATGTGGGTCCATTAGGTCAAAATAAAATAAAATCCAGAATAGTAATGGTATGGTAATATTTTTTTCTTAGCATCAACCAAAATGTCAGAACACTGTGAGCAAGCTTGCAAGTCCCTTGGAACTCTGTATCAGGCTTGATGTTAAACAAAGTACCGGGGGCAAGGGGAGGAGAAAAGGCTAGGCATTATGATGGCGCCACAAAGTCTGAAGGTTTTTTTTAGCACTCTAAAGATGGAAAGGAAGAGCAGATGTAGTTGGAATAGCCTCAATAGATGCAAGACAGATTGCAGGATGGACTCTGGGCTTCTGAGACTAAGAAGCAGTAACATTTATTCTCCAATCTAGATCCCTTGAGAGCTAGAGATGAGAATCAGTGGACGATGGCAGGATGAGGCAGAGACTCTCACCTGACCTGGTTGCCGCTGCATACTGGGACAGAGAGAAGTGAGGTGCTGGCGAGCTCACATGGTGGCAGGAGCGCTCGATAGGCTCTGCTAGCGCATGCGTATTGTGCTGACCTTGCTGTCGTCTTGCCTCTCTTGGCATCCAGCCATGATGCAGGCAACTGTAAGTTAGGTGAGTGCCGCTGCCTCACCCTGCTGTCTGCTATTGGTCAGAAGCAGAGAGAAGCATGGCATCCTACTAGTTTGGGTGTGGGTTCACATTATCTGCAAATGCTCTGGAGGAATCAGCATTGGCAAATAAGCTTCCCTGAAAAACAGCTGGCTGCAAACAGTGCCCTGAAATATGTAGCCGTGAGAGAGTACTGGATATATTGTGGCACACACATAGTGACAGCCAACAGGCCTCGCTGCTGCCCCACACAAAACCAGGGAACTCTCAAAAATGCATCGTCAAATAGTTGGAGGTGCAGGGTTGGTACTGGATCCATCAGGGCTCTTCAATAGGCAGGTCAATGTGGAAAAGAGTTTCACTGCATATAAAAGTTTGCAAACTACCATCTTAAACTGCTGATTCTCTGGAAAGAATTCTGCTTCTAATATATTTAAAGGGAAAACTACTGTCTTATTTTCTTTAGCTTTCTGTCCCTCAAAATTATGACATTGTTATATCTGATGCCAAACAATATTCAAATATTTGTTTAAAAGAAAAGTAATGGGAAATTTGCACCAGAAGTTGTTCTCCTCAGCAAGTGTTTTTGTTCCTCCCTCACCGTGTCTTTCTGCTTGAGAAGCATCTTCAATATTTTCTCTGTGAAAAAGAACAAGTAAAAGCCCCCAAAGACAACAGCAGATTTGGAGACATAATCATCTTCCCGAGGATTGAATCCAAAGGCCTGTGGAGTAGGGGCAAGAAAAGGTAAGTGAAAAGTATACTTAAGTAACAGCACATTTATGCAGTTTACATTGCCTCCCACCTGTTTCAATCTAAGAGAAGGCCTAAGAGGAAGTAAAAAGCTGCAGAGCACAGGAATTTATCACTAGACCTACAGAAGTATATCTTGATGGCAGCTGGCTGCTCCCTGAATTCACATTATGGCAGCAATAAACCTGTGTCGCGGCTGTGCCAAGTGAGATGTGGGTTCACACTGCTGAATGCTTCTCCACAGGCACATGTTCCTTTCATATAGAAACCATGTTTGACAGAAGTCAGCAAGGCTAGAAACTTGCTGTTTGATTGGCTAGTTTTCTATATGCGGTGAATTAAAAAAATGTAGTAGTATTCAGCCATGTAAATCCACATCCGCAAAGTGGTGCAACTCAGGCATAAGTTTTACCACTTCCTAAAGCAGAAGATCATCTGACCAGAGCTCATTTGTATCTCACCTGGTGTAAGAACAAGAGGGATTCCACTATGACCCATTGATTCATTGACTTGCCTCCTATGACTCAGACCTTCTTATAGTTTTTTCTTATTGTGTGAAGGCCACTTTCCCTCCCCTTTCTAGATAAGATATGCTCCTTTGTCTCAAACACTTTCATTACAAAGGAAAACTTCCCAAGAACATGCCATTGAATGTTGAAGTTAGTCAGGTATTTTATGAGGAGGAAACGAGCACCACAAAGGCACTGTGCAACCACCAATGGCTTCTCACTTTCCTGTCTAGCTGCTAAACCATAACTAGACCCTCACACACAACTACCTTCTTCGACCATCACCCATCCCTTATTTTGGCTTATGATTAGGATTAGCAGTCCTTTTCCGTTTTCCATTCTTCATGTTGTCTTTTCCTTCAGCCTCAGTTTCCTTAGGACAATGCAACCTGCTCTTCTCCTATTTTCCCCTCCCTTTATTCTGTTTTTACCTTGCTTCAGCATGGGACTGTCATTATCTTAACTGGCCCTTGCTTTCAGACTGTTACAGTCAGGTGTGAGTTAGCTTCCAAGCCGTTTTTAACTTCTTCTGACATTGTAATACTGAAGCAGGTGTAGCCAGCTCAGTTTCCCTCCAGGCGCTGCTGCACTGCAATGTCCGTCAGCCCAGGCCAGCAGAGCCAACAGTCAGGGATAATGGGAGTTAGATTTCAACATTCTCTGGAGAGCAGCACGCTGGCTACCACTACTCTAAAGAGTGAAAACCCAAGGAAATGCCCCACTAAGTTTTTCAAGTGCCAAACAGTTCACAACTCATCCGAGACTAATACCACCAGCACAATATCACTTTTCTACTAGAATTCCTCTCACCACAGATGACACAAAAACAGCCACACAAGGAAGGCCAAGAGGCCCTAGTCATACCTCAGGAATGAGCTGGAAGAGGGCATTGGAGTAGAGAGTACCAATCGCCAGAGCTATGAAGTAGAGGAGCAGTCGCTTGTAAAAGGTCTTCTTCATGAAAGGCACCACACTGGCTCCAACCAGGGAGCAGAGGGAGATGACAGTCACACAGAGGAAACCATAACCCCAGACTGCGGTGTGAATGCCAGCCCCCGCCCCCCGTGAAATCACAGGTGGGATGAATGCCATGGAAGTCAGGACACAGGAATACGCAGAAATGAATTTAAATCACAGAGAGAGGAGAGAGGGTGGGAGGGAGAGAGGAGACTTTCATTAGTGATTGATGTTTAATTGGATATGGCTTTAAGTATGCTGGGAGTACCTGGTGTACTCTGGCTCTGGAACTCCAGCAAAGACAATTGTGCGCCTCCAATAGGTGGTAGTTTCATCATGGGACAATTGCACCCATATGAGATATGGAGGAGACCAGTCCCTTCACAAGCAAGGTGGAGACTTCCGCTTTCTATAGAGTGGGATCTCTCCATATCTCATGTATTCTGTAGACAGTCCTGCTACAAATGGCCTCTATAAATGCACATTAGTTTGTACATAAGTTTGTAATTCCATTCAAGCCGTCCCTAAGTGATGCTTCAGATCACAACTGTAAGACGTCCATACCATAGCTGACGAGAGCATTTAATGTCCCTAGCTCTCCAGACTGTTGGTGGGGCTGTCCAGTCACGTTTCCCCTCTTTTTTCTAGCACAGGGACAATGCCAGAGTTCCAGTGTCATGAAGAGCACCTGTTTTACTCTCAGCATCCTACACCCGCCACCATCATGGTCTGTTGCCTGGCCAGAGTGAACAGTTACTTGCCTGTACATATGATACGCATGTGGCCATACCTACCTAGCAGATGGGCACCTGTAGAATTACAGAGTCTCTGCTGCCCAACTACAGAAAGTCCCCAAAGTCCAACTAAGTGAGTGATGCAATTGCACACCAGTTGTTCTTCCAGGGCAGGCAACTAACCATGGAGGTGAAGCATATACAGTGATTTCTGTTATAGTTTGATCACAAATATAGTTTTGTTTTCAAGCAACAAATTCCTTCCCCCTCATCAGATGCACAGTTTTGGAGCTGAAAATACCATAAATTCAAGAGGGAATACAGTACGTCATGCCTTGGACAGGCAGTAAATTAGCTATACAATATAGGAGCTTCAGAAATTCTGAATAGTATTGCTAAGATTTGTGAGCTTAGCCTTTTTCAATGGAAGAAGCCAGTTGGTGAGGTGGCCAGGACAGACAGCAAAGGTGGTCCTGGGTTCAAAGGGTGGCTCTTTCATACCATGGACAAACCAATGTCTTATTTCAGCCCACAATTTTAGAAGTTTGCGGAACTGCAAAAACTGTGCCCCAAATGTTTGCCACAATATGCAAAGTCAAAATGGAAGACAAAAACAGAGCAAGTGAAGGAGACAAGGGTTACAAACTCCAAAATCAGGAAGTAGAATGTTCTTGTTCGTATTTAGGCAGCTCCAGAACATGCAATTCAAACAAAATTATGTCAAGATTAAATCTGGCAAAGTCCAACACTGCTCAAGAAACCTCTTCTTTTGTTGTTGGTGAAATCAGATCAATTATTGAAAGAGAAGCCAAGAAAAAACATAAAAGATCTTTCTCCAGAATATTGGTGTTCCTTTGCAAAACAGTCTCTGAAGCTGACAGCCACACTTTCCCCCCTACCTACTCTCATTCATCAGGCCAGTGAATGAACTTGACTACTGGAAGGACTCAGCCTACAGAAACAGCCCACACACAGATCCAGATTAATGTATACCTCTTCCTCTAGGTCACTCTAGGCAACATCTACTTTAGCTGGCTAGGTTTAGGTAAAGGGTACTATTTCCCATTGTTTCAGTGAAGTTGCCCTCACAACGTTCCCAAAGAAATATTGTGCTAGTTAGCAGATATGACCAAAAAACCCAACATTCCTTTTCACGCTTTTGCACAACTGAAGAAACCTCTCACTAAAAGCACAATCAACCCCTTTCCATCAATGGTGGAATGGAAGTCAAGAGGCAAAATCCTCCCAGGGCTGCCAACACCCACAAGGTGCACTTTAAAGTCACACTGTTGCTTTGGATGACTGTGAATGGCAAGAAACAAGGACTAGGAGAGTGGTGCTAAGCTTCTGCCCTTGAAATGAGGAAACATGAATTATGGCTCAAGAAAATTCCCAAGATGTGCTCTGAGCAAGCACAGAATTCATGTATGTGCCCCTACACAGGGACCATGCAGAAGAACTTGCTCTTTTTCTCTCAGCTGACCTTAGGAAGCTTCCTGATGCTCAGAGGAGAAAAGGTCATCCTCAAAAGGAATCCCTGGGCAGGGCAAGCTTCCCCCTCTCTAAACCAGGCATCCCCAACCTTCAGCCCTCCAGATGTTTTGGACTACAATTCCCATCATCCCTGACCACTAGTCCTGCTAGCTAGGGATCATGGGAGTTGTAGGCCAAAACATCTGGAGAGCCGCAGGTTGGGGATGCCTGCTCTAAACTGTGAGCAGCCTATCAGCAGAGAACTTAGTGACAGGAAAAGTAGATTGTGACTCAATCCATGTGTCTGTGTCTTACTGCACCTCTGGGATCAGCTGGAACAGTGCGTTAGAGAACAATGTCCCGATGGAGAGCGCGATGAAATACGTTAGGATTCGGGCGAAAAAGACCTTCTTGGTGCAGGGCACGATGAAGACGCCAAGTAGGGAGGCCAGGTTAATCAGTGAAACACTGAGAAATCCAAAGCCCCAGACTGTGAAACAAATAGAAAGGAGGGCCAGTTTACCCAAATAATTGAAAACAGGAAGGGGCCTCTATAGACAGCCAAAGCTGGGAAGGCTGAAGTTGATCTCACTGGAAATAAGGTTTTATTGCAATTCTCTAGGAGTTTAAGATGTACAGCACCAGGATAGAAGACAGAAGCGAAGCCTCTGAGTTCTTCTCAAACTTGGTACTGAGAGCTATACTCAGTACCAACTCAATATCAGGATCTATTAAGAAACTGAAAAAATGATGTAGAGGCAGCAGGAATTGTGATTTAGGATTTCAGGTAGCTTAAAAATATTACAATTTGCTACAAAACAAGGTTCATAAGACAAAAACTGAACAGAGTATGCTGCCATTCAGGTTACATCAGTGAGGAATTTGCTTAGATTACCCAGGATGTTGCCAGTTGAAACTTGCCATCGCTCACTGACTGGCAAAAAGAGATTTAGATTAACCATTTTTAAAGCTCCTTAGATAAAACGTGTACAATCTATGTTGCTCATTAACTGCAGACCCAAATTTTCTGGCTTCAGGCAACGTCTGTGAACAACACGAAGAAAGCTGAAAAGAATAATCATATTACATTAATCTCACTTCCTTATTTCTGGAATGTCAACAACAGACTCTTTAGGGTCATTTTTGACCTCCTTTTGTGTGTATACATCTACGAGGTTACTCAAAATCTGTGACAGGCCATATCTCCCAGCAAGGGAGATGATCCTGAGGCAGGTGAAGCTTTCTCATAATGTTTCTTCATGGACGGCTTTGAGAGGGTCTGAGGCATCCAACTCTTTTCCTCTTCTAACCATAGTGTAGAATTACTTCCCCAATCCACAGATCCTTATATGCAGCAGCAGTTTGTATGTAAACAACTGAATGTGTGGATTTCTGCATATTTGCCTGTGAGACACATTGCCAGTGCTGGGTTGAGGAGCCACAGCAGGCGGAGGAAGTGTAGAAGGAACCCCTCCTCCCAAATGCAAAAAGTCTGTGAAATAAAAGTGGAAACTTAACAGTGAAAATGTATGCACTAAGCAAATCCTTTTTTCAAACAAACACACACATACATATTTAAAGTACACTGTTTCTTACCCTGTTGCCTTTTTGTTTAATATTCCTGTAACATCTCAATGATGACTCATACCCATCTTAAGATCTACAAAAGCGGTTGTAATCACTGGCTCTTCTGCAAATACCCACCAGCAGGGACGACCTCTTATTTATATACTGAGCTTTTTCTTCTCAATAGATAGTATTTCCAAGTTCTCTATTTTGTCATACAGTGCAATTCTGTATGTGTCTACTCAGAAGTAACTCCACTGAGTTTAAAGGGACTTATTCTCAGGTAAGCAAGTATAGGACCTGGTGGTTGGCATAGTTCCTTAACTAGGGGAAAGTGTGTTATATATGGTTCATTAATTGTGGACCCACATTTCCTGTCCACAAACAGGAAGATCTGTGAATTCACAAATTTGTGAATGACAGGAGTAAAATTGAGAGTCAGCCTATAGGCTGTTCCATTGTGTGTAAAGGTGTAAAGGTGTAAACACCATGGGTGGTATCAAGCTAAGTTCTACTTAGAATATCCACTAAAATTAATATATCTAAGTTAGACATACCCATTAACTTCAATAGGTCTGCTCTGAGCACGACCAACACTGAATAAAACCTCATGCTTTCTTCTCCACAGCCTAAACAATTCTAATTTTGTCTTTCATTGAGAGCAATACCTGTACTTCCAAAGGCCCACTTTCACCTGTAAGTATGCAGCAGCCAGCATATGCATGGAGCTGCTTTGACAGCACTGACAGCTCAATCTGGAGCACAATGAAATCATACCAGGGGGGTGGATTTTAGATCAACTGACTTCTCCTAGGCAAGGACACAACAAGGGTGGGGTGTATGGGGCATTATGTCAACCTGTACCTGGAAAAGGAAACCCCATTAAGAACAATTGCTTACAGTTCTGGTTGGCATTCCATTTCTACAGCAACTTGCAGGAGAACAAGGATGGTCAGGATTTGAAGGCATTTCTCAGGAAGCTTTTGCTTTAAAAGACTAGCTGTTAAACTTTTGCTAGCCTAGCTGGCTGGCTTATAACTGCACACACACCTTCTGAGGAACTGGGCTTCCCCTCCTCTGTCCTCTCATCTTCCTCATTTTCCAGGTTCTCAGACGTGCACGCCCTTGACTCCAGCTGCTGCAGGATGGTTGGGCAGAACTCTCGGAATTCACTCTTGCCAAGGCTGGAGTCTTCACTCAGATTGTGGGTTGAAAAGAGCTCTGAGGAACTGAAGCACTATAGGACAGAGAGCAAGGCGTGGTGAAAATCCCAGAGTTGTGCCTTTTGTTAGCATTCACACCCTGAAGGCTTCCCAGTGAGCTTTACTGACCCATACTTGCTGAAGACCACAAATTATGCACTGCCTCCTGTCACCATTCTAGCTCCCTTTGGCTCCTGCTCTCCCTGAACTGTTTTTATTCAAGCTGGTGAGTATAAAAACATAGGAGTTTTATGATGCTTGAGGGCAGGGACACGTTTGTATAGATCTTATATAACCATTCCAGGAGGCTTTTCAGCTGGAGGGTAGGGTGAATATGTCTTAATACTACTAAAACTGCAATACACACAGAGTATTTTTCCATGTATAACACGACCCCATGTATAAGATGACCCCTACTTTTGGGAGCCCAAAATTAAGAAATCAGTTTGTTAAAGTTGTTCTGCTTTGGGAGGAAATTGCTTTTTGGGGGGGCGATACCCCGCATCTCGGCACAGCCTCGCCTCGTCTCACCTCTCCAGCCTGCATCTGGCTTTGCCTCGCCTCAGCAGTGAGAGCTGGTGGCACTGCGGCCAAGCTCCCTCCTCCCCTCTCCAGCCAGCGCCCTGAATACAGCGCACTCCACTCAGGAGATGCCAGGAGCCGCCAGCTGACCCAAGACTTAAGATATAAATCTGTGTATAAGATGACCCCCAATTTTTGACTGAAAAATGGGGGGGGGAGACATCATTTTGTACACGGGAAAATATGGTATACACACCCACACCCCCTTCATCCAATGATCTCAGGGAAGTTCACGAGATAAAAATACAAGATAAAAGCACAAATTAATAATAATAATAATAATAATAATAATAATTTTAAATATTTCTAAGATAGCAACTGCAACGAATAATAAAGTAATATGGGTACTACTGCTACTAAACCATAATTGGGTGCTGATTTTGACCATTAACACTCTAAATGGTCCAGACCTGGGCATGTCATAGACCATCTTTCCCTATATAAACCTACCTATAACAGGGAGACCTGCCCCTCCTCCACTAGAAAGAAGCAAGGAGGGTAGTGATGCTGAACAGGGCCTTCTCAGGGGCAGCACCAACATTACAGAACTTGCTCCCCAGAGAGGTTCATCTTTTTTGCCTCTTCTCTGTTAACTTTTAGGTGTCAGTTCAAGACAGTTTTATTTCAGAAAGCTTTCAAGATCAATTAAGTGGACTTAATTAAAGGTGCCCCACTATAGACCCTTTAGGTTTTATCATTTTAATATTTTTCAGTGGAATGCATTTATAACAGCCAGGTTTTTAGCATTAGTAGGGTGATTTGTGGACCCACTCACTACCTTCAAAAGCAGGACAGAAATAGCTTATATAAATACAATACATTACCCAGGAGATGTTTCTACGCTGTTGCTCTGTGCGACTAATGTTGTTCCTTCCAACTCCCACATCAAGGCGATTCAACAGGGACTTGAGCTGCTGCAAAGTGAGCTTGTCATGTTTGCCATACCGGAGGAAGAGGTCTTGCAGGAAGGAATCTGCTGTGATAGAAGTCTGTGGCAAGGCTCCTGAGCTAGCCCACACAGAGCATGCAAAACCCAGCAGGCAAAGCTGTAGGGGCAAGACACATTTCCAAGGACCCACATTCCAAAACATGGCAAAAATTCTGAAAAGAGAGACACGTGCACTTGGATCAGTACGTATCAGTCAGTGCAATACACAAGCCAATTCCAGCCACACTAATCTCTTATCTCCTGCTACCAAATTAATAATTAGATATCCTAATTGCAAGCAACCCAGTTCCAGCAAATCCTACTTGCAACAACTATCAAGTCCCCTTGATTACAGAGTGCCAGGATCATGCAGACTTCGGACCAATCTTAACCCAAACCTTCATTTGGAGACTCATATCTTAATTTTTACCACATATTTGTTTCAACCCAAAGAGAAATAGTGTCACAGAATTTCACTTAGAGGAAGCAACACAAAACTGGATACAAAACTTCTTAACAGGACACCATCTGATGAGATGAATCAAATGCTAAATTCATGAGACGTGTGTGTCTGTTGGAATTTTGTGCGCTTTGCAAAACACACTGCCTCTGAACTAGAGAATAATAATATTTCCACACCCATTCACTAGGCTCATGGCCATATTGAACATATCTGCTGAGATGCAGCAGACTTTAGTCTCCTGAAGTTTGACCCAGAGCAGCATTGTACCACAGCCAGACAGATTGTGGTCAAAGCTATCCCTAAAGTGGCAAGGCCCACCAGGACTGATCTGGCCACCAGGGAGACCTCATCTTCCCCCGCAGAACAGCAAGACAGGCAAGGAAGGGGTTGTGAGTCACCTCTCCCAACACAATCCTGAAAAACTGAGCAGGGGCTCCCACTCCCTGTGCTGTGGCACAACGTTCACTGCTTTCTTATTAAAAGGGGATAGACATTCTCATAGTCTTAAGAGCTTAGTTCAACTCCAAGATCTTTGTTTCACGAAAGTGTCAGGAATTCCTTAAGAAATGAAGTCAGCTGGGGGGGGGGTTGGGAGGAGTTAAGTTCTTCGTACAAACAAGACCTTAGGTGGAATGATGGGTCAGTTTAAATTCCTGTATTCCTAAATTGCCTCTGGCCATTTTCTTTTTTCTAGGCAAGGTGGCTGAACCCAGTGAAGCATTTCGGAATACACTGTTAGCTCCATACAACATAATATACGGTAACCAATAACAATATGATATGATATGCTCCTCTTTTCTGTAGCTCCAAGAGGAGGACCAAATTCCAAAGGAGGCTACAATACCAAGCGAGAGGCTTGGCTTAAAGCCACATTCTATTCTTGGCTCTTCCTCAGACTCTTTGCACCACAGATACACTGGCAGGTTTTGCAGTGAGCGCATGAAGTATGAATGGGGAGACCTGCTTTCCCAAATGTTCAGTGGAAACATATTAAGAAACTGTTATAATAATTTTAAGGTCATATACACAAACACACACACACACACACACACACACACACACACCCCCCACATGTCTGAAAACAATGCAGGAAAAAGTCCTGAAACCATTTTGTCTCTCCCAAACTGACTTCAAATGGCTTCCCCCCACCGCCAGCCCCAAAGAGCAGGTCAAATGAACCTGAAGCCTCCAGAGCCCAGAGGGAACTCCCGCCGTGCTCCAGAGGCTTCGGGTTGTCTTCACTGAAGTCTGGAGAGCGAGAGGGGTCAGTGCGCACTGACGCCTCTCGCTCTCCAGGCTTCCAAGGTAGCCGCCTGAAGCCTCCAGAGCGCAGCGGGAACTCCCGCTGTGCTCCGGAGGCTTTGGGTGAATGCACCTTGAACGCACCTTGTTTTAGAGGGGGTCCTATGGTCCGGTGCGTCCTATAGAGTGAAAAAATACGGTATTCTGGTCCCAAGTTGTTTAGGGCTTTAAATATCAGCAACAAAACCTTAAACTTGGCTCAGTAGCTGATGATTATAACAATGGAAGGATAAGTAAAATTCTCAGCCAGTGTGAATGAGTGGTCTGTCTCCATACTTTCAAAAGCTAAACGAGATTTTCTTTTAATTCCAATATTTGACCAGAAACAGAATCACACACACTTCCTGCCACGCTGTAGATGGGAAGCCAGCTCAGATTTATGGGGGAGGGACCATAGATCAGTAGTACAGCACCTGCCTTGCATGCAGGAAGTCCCCGATTCAATCCCAGGCACCTCCAGTTAAAAAAACAGGCATATCAGGTTATGGGAAGGATCTCTGCTGCCAATCAAAATAAGCAAAACTGGGCTAGATCAATAACTAGGCAGATCTGGTAAAAGGTATCTTCCTCTGCTACTATATTCGTTTGGACTGATATTTTCTCCTTCTCTCAATGGGATGGGATTTGGCTGTGAGCAGGTCTACAGTTTAAAATTTTGGAGTGGAGATAGCAGCCTTTGAAGGATAACACTGCAGAGGTGGTGGGGTGCTGGAGAGGCGTGTGCAGGCAACTCCCCACTGAGGGGGAGGCATTGTTCTGAGGCCCTGCATGCATCAGCAGGACAAGCATAAACCCACCCCACCCACCCCCTTGTGGTGCCAAAAACAGCACATGCATGCCAATCATGCGCACATGGGGAGTTGCCTGGACTTGAGAATCACTACTCTAAGAAGACAGAGAAAGAGACAACTGGATGAGAGGATTAATTGATAGGTGCGTAGAGAGACAATTAGTGGAGAGTCAGGGCACTCACCAACACTGCATCATCTAAGTGCTATAGTAAACAAGTTAGTTATTTCAACAGAACAGGGATTTTTCAAGAACTTCCATCTTTTTCCAGCTGCGCTCATATAAACTCTGGTATTGTATGATATACAGTTACTCTTGTTTCTCTGCTGTATAGCATGCAATTGTTCAGATTATTATGGGCCGCCCGGCAGGAATAGTTGGCATGATAGACCTAACCTCCAGTGGGGGGTTTCGATTAAATGACCTTCCAATTCCTTCCAGCTGTACAATGATCTCCTTAGGATACTTGCTGGTTCTGAGGAAATGACAGGCAGATTCTCACCCTAGTCACCAATTCAAGATTCCCATTAGCTCAGCTATCTTTAACATTAGCTTTAATAGAACCAAAATGTCTTCTTAGCAAGGAATGCACTTCGGTGTCTTTTTTTAAAAAAGTAACACCACATCCTTGCCAATCAACACCCCATTTCAAATCCTTAAGACTCATCCTTTGAAGGAATTTGAAAGAGACATGAAGTACATTTACCAGCTGCTAGTGAAAATGTAAATGTCTTGCTGATCTGGGGCGGTGTGATATTTGGTCATTTACATTGTAAGCCCTCTAAGGCAGGACCATATCTTTTCACCTTGCATTATATGGTGAAGAGCCTTGTATGTCGATAGTGCTGCATAAGTGAAAAATCGCAAGCTGTGCTCTCAGTGGCACACAAGTCATTATCCCACTAGAACAATATTTAAATGAAAAAGGCCAATCCAAGAGGGCACACAAAATACGTTCTCTCTTCTTCCTGTCAACCTTTCAACAATATGCAACTTTCAGAATGTACAGCACACTGAAATGGTAGAAGTGTGTATTGATACACACAGCCCATAGACAGAGGATGTGGAAAACAACTATCCTCTTACAAGTAGAGAAACAACCAGTTATTTGCTGCCCTTATGGCAGACACTGTGCTAAAGACCTCAGCTACTAGCACCTTTAAGGGGACACTTTAATTGGTCAAGTGCAGATTAGGCCCTATCAGATCAGGCAGTCCAGAGACCAGGAACACGCCTGATACAAGTTCCAAAGTCCACAAGAAAACGCAGCACCAACTGGATACACGCATGCATGTGCATATTAACAAGGAAGGTCTCTTGCATAACAACTGGGCGAAATCCTGCCCCATAGCTTTGGCTCAGGTCCAAAACCTAGGAAATGACATTGTCAAGTACAGTCACAAGGCACACTATCCAAACCATTTTTATCACTGTTATAGCAATAACTTTTGCATGGGGGCTACAGCATCAGAGGAGTGCAAACAGATGGCCACGTGGCAGCCTAACCTAGATTGCCACAAGATTAAATTAGGGTCAAATTGCTCTAGACAATTATGTACACAGAAGGATGACGTACTCTTGTGATCCATCAAACTTTATAACTCACTTTTAAACAGATTTTATGAATAAACATTCACATTTAGAAAATATATAAGCCATATTTTAAAATGTCAAAGAAGTGAACAAAATGTAGCCACAAATGTGTATAAAAACAGTATAAAACACGCAAAACACCAGAGCCCTTTCCTTCAATGGAAATTTGCAGGCTTATACCTGTGCACCTTTTCAGTCACAGACACTATATCAATTTTTTTCAAGGGGAGCCAAATCTACTTCACAGCTTCATAAAACCTACCCATGATGTCATAACTTCATATCAAGGTTCACCATACAATAATAAAAATATGGCCTTTTAAATGTTTTGTGGGATGGGGGTTTACACTAACAGTAAAAAGAAGAATACAGTCCTTCACCTCCTTTTCCTGACATACTACAGGTAGCATACCTGAAATGTGCCAAAGACCCTCAAAATTGCCCAGGTGGTCATTTTTTAAAAATTCCTAGAGTTGGTTAGAATAGCAGACTCCATATCATGATGCTTTCTGTGAGGTATCCTAACCAGCACTCCCCATCTCTGCATTGCTATCTGGCAGCCATCTCCATCCCAATTCTCACCACCTAGACTAGAGTGCTCCCCCCCCCAGTGGTGAAGTACCCTCTAGCTGTCAATCGTGATCAACCCAATCAAAGAGCATAGAACATGGCATCATGCCTGTAGACTTTGCCCCCCCCCTTCAACCAACTCCAAAGGCTACCGAAAGTGTCAATATTGTTGTATAAGCTTGCCTAGTATTGGATTAGCTACATCCATATTCTAGTTTGGTGTTTTATTTCCCATCTGAATGTGGCTTACTGTTTCTCCACCTTTCCCTTTCTTTTAATAGTCTGTTTAAATACACTGCTGTAGGGGATTTCTGGACTGGGCTGCTTGCTGAACACACTCAAGGGTGGATTGCTTGAGCTAAGCTGCTGGGTTAAAGCACCTGGGTGGTCAGGAGAGGTGACAGGCCAAAGTTGCCAGGCAGAAGACTTGGAATTCAGCCCTACTCCCAAGTAGAT